ATAAAAAGTAATTTATTTTTTTATTTACTCTGGTAGCATAGGTTTCTTTTTTTTTAAACAGGGAAAAATCAAGCGCAACGGCCTTGAAGTATCATGACCGGGGGGGGGGGGGGGGGGGGGGGGGGGGGGGGGGGGGGGGGGGGAGGAGAATCATCAAACTGACTGGCTGGAGGTAACTGATGGTGTAAGCCTTGGGCACTGGGCCCCTTGCCTATTAAAGTGATTTTTTTCCTTTGTAAAATACAGTCGGTCCGTTTATCAACAGTTCATAGGGTTCGCTTTTTCTTTTGCCTTCTTAAAAAGTTTTTTTTTTTTTTTTTGCCGAGGTAATTAAGAATTACTAGTATTTTATCGTGGTCATCTTTTTATCGTGGTCATCTGACTGCATCTGGGTTCCAGCTTGGGTCTGTATTTCAACAGCTCATGGGTTTATCATTCAGCCACGTGGAGGAGAGTGGACGACGTCCCTTCCCGCAATGCAAGGAGGGAAGAATTAGACATTGAATCTGGTCCATTCATTCGTTGTTATTGTTATTATTATTAAAAAATTAATAATTAGAATGTCGGAGGTGATGAAGAGGGGGAGATGATGGACGGGGAGGGATGTATTTTCAGAAAAAAGGGAAAAAAAAAAAATAATTGGAAACTGTTTCCGTGTCGCGCGTCCGGGAGAGTGAACGGGGAGGGGGTGTCTTTTCCAAAAAAAAAAAAAAAAAAAAAAAAAAAAAAAAAAAAAAAAAAAAAAAAAAAAAAAAAAAAAAAAAAAAAAAAAAAAAAAAAAAAAAAAAGTTGAAGGTGATGAAGAGGGAGATGAACCAACTCGGGGCCCAACTGGCCTACCTAGCTCAGTTGGTATACCCATGAAAGACTGTTAAAATATGAATCAGACCAAAGTTCGAATCCAGATGCAAATCTGAATTTACCTGCGGCCGGTGAGTTTGAAGATGTGACATCTCTCATCTCAAGGCCGTCGCTCTTAAAAACGAACAAAAAAAGAAGGGAAAAAAAAAAAAAGAGAGGGGAGATGATGGAGGGCGTGGATGCTGTTTCGTGTCGCGTCGGGGAGAGTGGACGGAAAAAGAAGGAAGTTTTTCCAAAAAAAAAAAAAAAAGAGGGTTCCACGGTCAGTCGTAACCCGAAATGCGATAGATAGTCTTTCGGATCGTCGTCGCTTTTTTTTTTTTTCCAAGGGCCGGTGACGTCCACCAAGAAAGGTAGATCGCAGATGATCCGCCGTGGTACCGGCAATGTAATTTATTTAATTTCATGAATAATTTATTAATTTCATGATTGAATGCATAATTTCATTTAATTAATTGAATTGGGCAAGGGGATCTAAAAAAGTGTCCGATAATAAGGCTATATTCAACATCGCCCACCCACTTCGTGGAGAAAGGGGCCTATATATCAAATCCAGAAATATATACATATATACCGGGCAGTTCTGTTTGTGACGATATATATGAACAGGGGGAGTCTTGTAAGGAAGAAGATAAAAAATGAATTTATTTCGTCTTTTTTTCGCATTTGCGCTCTGATAAATGTATCCTAATTAAGCTGAGTTCGAGAGCCGTATGATAGGTGATTTTCTACCCCCGAATACAATGTACGGTCATTAAAGCTGTATTTGGGGTAGGTTTCAGTCTAAATACAGCTATAATGACCGTACGTTGTATTCGGGGGAAGAAAGTAGTACGGTTCGGAGCTTCACTACTGAGTGCTCACACCACATGGACAAAAAACAAAAAATACAAGAAATAGGGGCGGTGTATCTGCCCATGTTCTAGCAGAAGATTCATTCGCATTTTACACATTTGACGTGTGGACTGGAGCGAGTTCGGTGAGGAAATGACACCTGCGCAGAACTGACAAACATGTGGAGTTGACACGTGTCAAAACGGAATTAATTATAATTTATGTAACGAAATTGAGACTGGGCAGTAGTGGGAGGTAAGTAGTGGGAGGTGAAATTGAGAAAAGAATATAGCTTACCCAAAAATAATAATAATATTAATAATAATAATAATAATAATAATAATAAAATTTTAAAAAATCCGCGCACCCACCTGTGCTGTCTGCTGCGATAGCATCGGAGATCCTACTCGGGAACTTCGTGGAGAGTTCCTTCGCTGACCTCTCCTCCAATCCCCAGGAACGGCCGACTTTTTTGCGAGGGAGGTGAGAGAGACTGCCACGTGGCAAATCCTCCTGGACGCTCCTTTGCCCGCGCGCGAGCTGCTTACGTCTAATAGCTCTTTGCCGGCGGTCAAAACTTGATTAGGCCCTGAAGAAGGAGGGGGACAGCACATACGTCTTCCTCCCCCAGCTCTAGCTGCCACGTGGCAGGGAAGGCAGAGCCGATCTGCTGACGTGGAGGACGGCTCCCATCTCTGCGAAGAGGACGACAGCTGCTGACGTGGCATTGAAGAGCAGGCTGGCGATGGCGCCGCCGCCGCCATCGACACCCTGTCTCTTATACACATCTAGATGTGTATAAGAGACAGGACGAGCCCGTGGGATTCAGACGCGAAGCGTCTGCTCTTCGAGCCTTTGCCAAGGTGGAGAACGTCATGTGCAAGGAAATGGAATCCTTCTCCCGTAGTGACTATGCGAGTTTGATCAGGCACAAAGTGCAGGCCCATGGGTTGGAGCCATTGTGATAGGAACCCTTGCTCCCTGAACAACTCTTCGAGCCTTGTGAAGAACAACGAAATCATCGGCGTATCGCCATAGACGTCAACCGGTTGAGATTTTTTTTTTTGTGTGTGTGTGCGGCCGAGCCGCTGGAGAAACATTTCTTGTATATTGATAATAAATTTGGGGGACGACACCTTCGTGTGTTGATTGTATCTCGGTTCAGCTTCTCACGTGTGATCTCTCATGTGAATGTTCATTGATGTATGCAAGGTTGAACTTGACGAGTGCTTGGATCATTTCACTCACAAGCCCTCCGGTAGTTGCGAGTAGCCTACTGACTCTGAGAGAGAGAGAGAGAGAGAGAGAGAGAGAGAGAGAGAGAGAGAGAGAGAGAGAGAGAGAGAGAGAGAGAGAGAGAGAGAGTTTGGAACTTTGGATGCATCATTGGGCCCATACCTGCAAGTGCAATGTACTCTCCCCTCCATCAGGCTTGGCTTGAACAACCGACCTTGTCCTTCTTACCCCACTTGTCCCCTCATGTCCATCCCTGCCACCTTCACCTCCCCTCTGGAGGCCACCCAACGCAGCTGCAGGTGACCTTCTAGGAGAAGACAGCGGTGACGACAAATACCGAAACCTATTTTCTGTAAAACAATTCACCGACGGCCAGCCGTTGGAGCTGCACGGTGCCCCTCGCTGTCACATTCACAACACGAACAAAGAAAGGAACAGATCAGCAGTGTTTCTAGTGTTTTTTTCCCTTCTTTAAGAAAGGAACGGCTCATGTGCGGATGACACACGGCGATCCAAGCAGTGTTTCTAGTGTTTTGCTCCCTTCTTTAAATAAAAAAAAAAAGAACAAGGAAGTCCCTGGAGAATGACATCCAAACAGTGTTTCTCGTGTTTTTGTTTTTGTTTTTTGCCCCCGTGTTTTGTCCCCTAATTTCCCTTCTTTTTAACACCATCCCCCCCCAAAAAAATAAAAAACTGTCATTCTTCTTCTCTCTGTTTATTTTTATATATCTTTTACAGTCTCCCTTTTATAGAAGTTTTATTCAAGGGAAAAAGTAGGGTGCAGTCACGGTTTGAGTTTCAAAATGCAGTCTAGGCAAAACGCTGAAAATTTGAATGTATACAAACTAGATTTAGGGTCCGGTGGGAAGGGGGGCAGGGGGGGGAGGGGGAGGGGGGTATGTTCGACGGATGCCTGGAATGCATTTTGAAACTGCTTTATTTTTTTGAAGCGGCGACAGCCTTGAAATGTCATCCAAAATGATCCAAGGAACTGACTGGCCCTACCTAGGTGATTCAGAATTGTGCCGTTCAAGCCTGTACGGACTTATAGATCGTCCAGTTCAAGGGGCGACAGCCTTTATTTTAGTCATCTGCTTCCAGTGGAGTTCGAACTCAGGTCTGTATTTCAACAGTTCAAGCCTGTACGGACTTAGCTAGTACGCTCGAATTCCATTCTAGTTATTGGATATCACAGGGATGAATCTGGTCATCAGAAAGACAAAATACATGCGCACGCTTTCTAGTTATCGGGAATCACAGGATGAATCTGGTCAGAAGAAAGACAAAGTCCATGCACGAACTTAGCCTGTACGGACTTAGCTAGTCCAGTTGGTGTTGCCCCTCTATTCTTACTCTTCTTTCTTGTTGTTGGCCTTCAGGCACCTTTTTTTCTTTTAGACTGTGTGCTGGCTGGAGCTGGACGCCACTCCACGACCTGCTGCGGTTCAAAAGGCAGAACCATTCACTCATCAGGTATCTCAGAGAGAAAGGGAGAAAGGAGAGCTCCTTCTCCTCCTCCTCCTCCTCCTCCTCCTCCTCCTCCTCCGACCTGCTGCAGTGCAAGGCAGTACCTTTCACTCATCAGGTACCTGAAAGAGAGAAAGGGAGACTCCTTCTTCTTTTTCTCCTCCTCCTCCGCCGCCTCCTCCTCCTTCCTCTTCTTCTTCTTCTTCTCCTCCTCCTCCCCCTCCTCCTCCTTCCTCTTCTTCTTCTTCTTCTTCTTCTTCTTTGTCTTCGTCGGAGACCAGTACATGCCGATTTGTAATGACTGTTGACACGTGCATGTTCGAGAAGCAGTCTATTTTCTTCTTCTTCTTCTTCTTCTTCTTCTTCTTCTTCTTCTTCTTCTTCTTCTTCTTCTTCTTCTTCTTCTTACTCCCCTCCGTATCCGCCTCCTTGGTTCCTGAGAGAGACCAGAGACTTTGTGACCAGTCTATTTCAGGGAGATTTTCTCAGGTTCAGACTAGGCATCGAACTTGGGGGGGCAATTGAGAGTTGGGAAGACTATAATCAGTGTGCCTTTATGTCTCTCCTCTCCATCTCCATCTCCATCTCCATTTCCATCTTCTCTCACATTCCTCTCTATCTCCTCACCATCTCTGGTATGGCTATCTCCCCAAGTGCCTGATACACCCCCACGGCGGGGATCTTTGTCTATATTTGTCTCCCCTAATGTTTGGTGGCTTGGGTCTCGATCGATCGATGAGTGCATTGTTACTGTCAGAGTCGCCACGAGTCGCCTATCCAATGATTGATTGACCAAGCAATCAAGCAAGCGATAATAAGCACAGATTGCCAGCTGATTGATTGATTGAGCAAGCAATCAAGGAAGCGATTGCGCAAATACGTGATCTGCTGACCGCTTGCATGGTCGCGAGCGACGGATCCACTGATTTCTTCAGCAACCGACCCCCCTCAAGCAATCCACTTCCGCAGTTATTAAGCTCGATCATCAACCCTCCTTCCATGCCTCTACACCTCCCCCTCCTTCTCCTCCCTCTCTCCCTCCTCTATCCATCCATCCCTCCTTCTCCTCCCTCTCTCCCTCTCTCCCTCCTCTATCCATCCATCCCTCGTTCCACCCTTCCATCCTTTCATCACTTCCTCTTTCATCCGTCTCCCTCCCTCCCTCCCTCCCTCCCTCGCTCCCTCCTCTCTCCCCCCCGCCCCATTCCTCCCTCTGTCCCTCCCTCCC